GGGCAGAAGGAGGGATGGCACCGCTGCCAGGGAAAACGGCCACGATGGCTCCTTAAAATACTGGACATAGAGTGACGACATGATGCCGCGGCTCTGCTTCCGGGGATATGTCCAAAAGAATTGAGCGAGCGACTCAGGGGACACTTGGACAGCTGTGTTCGCAGCAGCACGGTCCGCAGTGGCAAAGGTGGAAGCAGCCCAGGTGCTCATCGACAGATGAAAAGGACACAGCGTGGCCCACGCACACGATGGCACAGGCTTCAGCCTTGCCAGGAAGGAAATTCCGCCACGCGCCACACAGCGTGCCCAGTGAAATTAGCCGGCCACAAAGGACTGGGTGGTTCCTCCCACGGGAGGTCCCTGGAGTCCTCAGAGCCACAGGGCCGGGAGGTAGGACGTCCTCGTCTCAGGAAAGAGCAATCTCTCCTTCCCTAGAGCTGACACCTGCCTCGTCTTCACTCGGAACCCCGCCCCTTGCCTCCCGCACTGGGATCTCCTCTCTCCCTCTTCCTAAAGGCCACCCTCTCCACCGCCCCCTGGCCCTAATAGGAGGCGGGTGGGACTGAATGTCCCGCACCTGAGCTTTGGTCCTGTTTTTGTAGGACAGAGTCTCGCTTTGTTGCCCAGGCTAGAGCGAGTGCCGTGGCATCAGCCTAGCTCACAGCAACCTCAAACTCCTGGGCTCAAGCGATCCTCCTGCCTCAGCCTCCTGAGGAGCTGGGACTGCAGGCACCATGCCCAGATATTTTTAAAATTATTTCTAAAAGCAGGGTATCACTATGTTGCTCAGGCTGGTCTCAAATTCCTGGCCTCAAGCGATCCTCCCACCTCAGCCTCCCAAAACACTGGGATTGCAGGCATGAGCCACTGCACCCGGTCCCCTGCTGCTCTTTTTTTTGTTTTTTTTTTTTTTTTTGAGTCAGAGTCTCACTCTGTTGCCCAGGCTAGAGTCCTGTGGTATCAACCTAGCTCACAGCAACCTCAAACTCCTGGGCTCAAGAGATCCTCCCGTCTCAGTCTCCCTAGCTGGGAATATATGCATGTGCCACCATGCCTGGCTAATTTTTCTATATATTTTAGTTGGCCATTAATTTATTTCTATTTTTTTTTTTTTAGTAGAGACGGAGTCTCGCTCTTGCTCAGGCTGGTTTCGAACTCCTGACTTTGAGCGATCCTCCCGCCTCGGCCTCCCAGAGTGCTAGGATTAAAGGGGTGAGCCACCGTGCCTGGCCCATTCATAATTTCTGTGTTCAGAGTCAAAAAAAAAAAAAAGTGAAAGAGTAAAAAAATGGGCTTACTATACAAAATACGTTGCTAGTGAAACAACAATTATCACCAGAAATGTGAGAACAGGGTGATTTATTCCTGGAAGGAAAAGAGAATTTAAAATATATATGAGTCCTGAAGTTCAGAGACAAAGTTTACAGTAGGATTTCTCAACCTCGATGCTATTTTTTTTTTTTTTGAGACAGAGTCTCACTGTGTTGCCCAGGCTAGAGTGATGGCGTCAGCCTCGCTCCACAGCAACCTCAAACTCCTGGGCTCAAGCGATCCTCTGCCTCAGCCTCCCGAGTAAGCTGGGACTACAGAGCATGCGACCATGCCCGGCTAATTTTTCTATATATATTAGATTGGCCAATTAATTTTTTGTTTATATAGTAGAGACGGGGTCCTCTTGCTCAGGTTGTTTTGAACTCCTGAACCAAACGATCCTCCGCCTCGGCCTCCCAGATTGCTGGGATTACAGGCGTGAGCCACCGCGCCGGGTCCCCAAGGCATGTTTTATAGCACACCTGGCTTTCCCCACTCAACTGATGCCAGGAGCACCCTCCTCCTGTCTTCACCCGAAAAAATGTCCCCAGACTTCGCCACGTGACCCCTAGTGATTCACACCTTGATTCTGTTTCAAAAGCAAAAGCTTCGGCCCCAAAGGAGGTATACAAATGGCCAAAAGGCACATGGAAAGATGCTCAACTGGGGACCCAAATGGCCGGCCACTACGGAAGACACAGAGAACAACGGGGGCCGGTGAGGGTGGGCAGAAGGAAGGATGGCACCGCTGCCAGGGAAAACGCCACGATGGCTCCTTAAAATACTGGACATAGAGTGACGACATGATGCCGCGGCTCTGCTTCCGGGGATATGTCCAAGAATTGAGCGAGCGACTCAGGGGACACTTGGACAGCTGGTTCGCAGCAGCACGGTCCGCAGTGGCAAAGGTGGAAGCAGGCCAGTGCTCTCGACAGATGAAAAGGACACAGCGTGGCCCACGCACACGATGGCACAGGCTTCAGCCTTGCCAGGAAGAAATTCCGCCACGCGCCACACAGCTGCCCAGTGAAATTAGCCGGCCACAAAGGACTGGGTGGTTCCTCCCACGGGAGGTCCCTGGAGTCCTCAGAGCCACAGGGCCGGGAGGTAGGACGTCCTCGTCTCAGGAAAGAGCAATCTCTCCTTCCCTAGAGCTGACACCTGCCTCGTCTTCACTCGGAACCCCGCCCCTTGCCTCCCGCACTGGGATCTCCTCTCTCCCTCTTCCTAAAGGCCACCCTCTCCACCGCCCCCTGGCCCTAATAGGAGGGGGTGGGACTGAATGTCCCCGTCACCCAGCTTGGTCACCAGACGTCTAGCAGTCATTCCTGGCTCTCCCCAATCCTCCCCCCACCCACATGCAAACGATCCCCGAGTCCTGTTGCTGCCTTTTTTTTTTTTTTTAATTGAAGACAGAGTCTCACTTTGTTGCCCAGGCTAGAGTGAGTGCCGTGCATCAGCCTAGCACACGAGAACCTCCAACTCCTGGCTCAAGCGATCCTCCTGCCTCAGCCCTTCCCGAGTAGTAGCTGGGACTACAGGCATGGCCACATGCTCGGATAATTTTTTCTATATATGTATTAGTGGCCAATTAATCTTTTCGTTTATAGTAGAGACGGGGTCTTGCTCTTGCTCAGCGTGGTTTCGAACTCCTGACTCGAGCAATCCGCCCGCCTCGGCCTCCCAGAGTGCTTGGATTACAGGCGTGAGCCACCGCGCCCGGCCTGCCTCTTGTTAATTTCACGTCAGCCGAGCAGCTTTCTGTGGCTGTGACCTCAGTCCCCGCGCCACTGCATGAGGTCCGCAGCAGCGCAGCAGCTGGGGATGGGGCCTTCGGCGTTTTCTTTTGGATCTTTTTTTTTTTTTTTTTGGAGACAGTCTTGCTTTGTTGCCCGAGGCTTAGAGTGAGTGCCTTAAAGGACGAGATGACATTCCTGGGGTTGACATGCAGGTAGAAGTATCGTTCAGAGTGCCCCAATTAATAACCTCTTCTCTGATGCTGGCTAAATTCGAACAAACACAAAATATACATACGACGAACTTCCAGCGAACCTTCTCTATAATTATAAATATAGACTTTCTGATCACTACTAACAGCAACAATGAACCGATAAATGGGCTGATGTCACTGCTGCACGCCAACCTAAGTAACGACACGTACGCTATCAATAACCGCGCTTTGTCGAATGTGGGATTCAGAAAGCGTACTTCTGGTGCTGGGCGCGGTGGCTCAACGCCTGTAATCCTGGCACCCTGGGAGGGCAAGGGTAGGAGGATCTCTGCCGTCTCAGGAGTTCCGACCAGGCCTCAGCAAGGAGTGAGGACCGTTCTTACTAAAAATAGAAAAAATTAGCCGGGCGTTGTGGCGCTGCCTGTAGTCCCAGTACTCGGGAGGCGAGGCAGGAGGAGGGATGCTGGAGCCCAGGAGTTGGAGGTTGCTGGGTGTGACAGCTAGGTGACCACTGCACTCTGCCTGGGGTGACACAGCAAGACTTTCAAAAGAAAAAAAAAAAAAAAAACGAAAAAGAAAGCGCTACTTCTAGAATGCATCAAAAAATTTTTTTGTGTAAATGATCCAAAGTGAAAAAAAAATTAAAATTAAAAAAAAGTTTATGCCACCAATACTTATTTAGTAAGTAAGGGGGAACTATATGTGCTGAGGCCAGCCTAGGCAGCAAATTTGGAAATCAAAGTTGTCTTTAGTGCTCTCAGCTACCTAAATTCATTCATCGCCTTCTCTTTTTTACCAGAACCTTCTGTGAGGACAATGCCGAAGTGTGAATGATGAAATGACTAGCATAACTGATAAATGTCACTTTTCAGAAGAACACTGCTGGTTTCTTAGATGACAAAACTTTATGTAGCGTAGGTACCAATGGTAGAATTTCTAAGATAGTTACTGAGAGGGTGGGTTTTCTGTTTTGCGTTTAGGCCTTGAAGTTATTGCAAGAAAAGTAGGATACCATCCAACGTGTCTATTTGTAACACAACCGATGTAAGAAAGATCACTGCAACCATTCTGTTTCCTTTTCTTGGGGAAAAAATCCTATCTTGTTGAATAGGGGTAGAATAAAACCAACTCTTCCTTTGGCTCAGAAATTGCTTTTTTTTTTTTTTGAGGATAGATGCTGTTGCTCTGTACGCTAGCTCACAGCAACCTCAAACTCCTGGGCTCAGGTGATCTTCCTGCCTCAGCCTCCTAAGCAGCTGGGACTACAAGGCATGCGCCACCACACCCAAGCTAATTTCTTCTATTTTTAGTAGAGACAGAGCTTATTCTTGGTCAGGCTGGTCTCGAACTGCTGAGCTCAAGGATCCCCACCTTGGCCTCCCAGAGTGCTAGGGATTACAGGCATGAGCCACCGCAACTCTGTGCCCGGCCAGAAATTGCTCCTAACATCTTTAAGTGGTACTTTATAAAATAAACCTCTAAACTAACAGGAACAGAGTAGTCTGTTTTTCTGAACAATATCTGCCCCAAATAGAACTCATTCTAGTTGCCTTCGGACTGTGGGGTAAGATCACATACGCTGCTTTGATGAAGGGATGGTTAAAGGAGGGAGGCTACTTTAAAGCTATCTGTTGTGAAAAAAGTTGTCTCCTGCAATAAAAAACAAATGAGTTAAATTAGACAATTTCATAACAAGAAAAGAAAAAACATAATGGGTGCACTTAAAAAATGCTCCATTCAAACAAATCCCTTTTTTAACTAGGAAGCATTAGTATCATTTATTTATTTTTTTTTGTTTTTGAGACAGAGTCTACTCTGTTGCCCGGGTAGAGCGCCACGGCGTCAGCCCAGCCTACAGCAACCTCAAACTCCTGGGTTCAAGCGATCCTCCTGCCTCAGGCTCCCGCATAGCTGCGGACTACAGGCACGCACCACCGATGCCCGGCTAATTTTTTCTATTATATTTTTAGTTGCCAGTTAATTTCTATTTTTGGTAAGAGACGGGGTCTCTCTCTTGCTCAGGGCTGGTTTTGAACTCCTGATCTTTGAGCGATCCACCCGCCGGGCCTGCCAGAGTGCTGGGATTACAGCGCGTGAGCCACCGCGCCCGCCTATTTTATTTATTTTGTATGTACAAATCTCTATAGGTGGTATTTACTTTTTCTCTTTTGGGGCGGTAGGGTCTCGCTCTGCTGCCCAGGCCGAAGTGCGGTGGCATCATCATAGCTCCCTGCAGCCTCCAACTCTGGTTTCCTTTCTCTTTTCTCTTCTTCAACCCGATATGTCGAATCAAAACTCCCCAGAGGCTCTTTCGCTTGAACACGTGATCCCTGGGTGACTGCGAACACGCGACCACAGCCATGTCCACCAAACACGAGGCCATGAGCCACCACTGTCCATCTCTCCACCAAATCCTCCCACATGGTCAACCCAGGAACTGGGGGGCCACCTTGAACTGCCCTGCTCGTTTCATTCTCCACACCCTGTGTGTCGTGTCCACACGTCTTGCTGAATCTGCCTCCTCTCTGTGTGTTCTCCCTTCTGTTCAAGCTGTATCACGTCTTGCTTTGTTTCGTTGGCCTGGGCCGTTGTAAACTCTATTAGTCCCCTGCTCCATCCCTTCCTAGTCGGCCGTCTGCAATGCTGCCAGATTGTGTCTTGAATATGAGCATGACTCATGCAGCCCCGACCCTCGCTGCTTTCCGGAATGAGGGTAAACATCTTGGCATGGTGTATATATCTGGTTTTCTAAGCCGACCCTGACCACCTCCCCGTGCATGCTCGACATGGCATTCCATTCCTTTGAAGGTGCTCTAAGCCATGCACTTTTGGCTCCCCCCCCCAAACCCATTGAACTCCTATTCATCCTTCAAAACCAGTTTGGGCATCAACTCCCCAGTGGAGCTTCCTGTGCATTTTCTCCTCCGGTGCCCCAGTGGCACTTATATCAAGCATCCGGTGAGTGGCGTACCACACCATACTGTGCTTGTTTACTTACCTGCCAATTCTTCATTTCTCTTCCTCTGAACCCTGCCCCTGGCTACAGACTCCCGAAGGCTAGCAACTGGCAACACAGGCAGAGCCGTCTTCTTCAATGTTTGCTGAATGAATGCATGAGGGCGAACCTAAAGTTTTATAAACAGGAAGGTCAGCGTACATAAAGCGGCGCGTCACCGAGGTACACAGCCACGTTTTTCCGGCAAGGATGTTTAATCACGCCGTCAGTGTCGTAGATGGAAAATACAGGACGTCCTAGAGAGAGAATCACCAAATCTTAAGAATATCGATAACAGTAAATGGCGGACAAAAATAACATGAAGAGAGCGAAATCTGACTAGGTAGCAATGACGTTTCGTTTCGCTATGGTACGAGTCACGTCACATGCGGCCACTGGGAGAATGGAAACGGGGTCCCGGGACCGCCCTTACTATTTTTGCAACCTTACGTGAATCTACATTATGTCTAAAAGCATTTTAGACAATTCACCAGGTAAATTATTCAATCCTTTCTCATTCCTAGACGTGTCCTACGGCCTATTTTCAGATGATTAGCTTCCGCAAAAGAGGGCCAGCAAGTGAAAAACTCTTAATGCTAACGTGAGAAACCAGTCACTAAAGATTTAGTGGCTGATGCCACTTCTGAAAGTGTGCAGTTTTGTCAACAGGGAACACTTTGAACAGACAGAATTTGTTTTCTTTTGGGGGGCGGTTAGTTAGGCGCAGAGGCGTTAGAGGTTAGAGTTAGGTTAGTTAGGGTAACATTAGATGAGGTGGTTAGGTGTAGGGTGTTGGGTTAGGGTTGGATTTGTGTTCCCAGAATATTTTTTATTTGTGCATTTAAGCACGTCATTGATTAAAGTGACGTTTCTGCCGCACGATGATAGTTAAAGCCACAGGGTTTGCCTCTGTCCCTCTGATTCGAGCGTCTACCAGGGAGTGGACAGAGATCACTGGGTAAAACTTCAGATAATCTGAGTTCTGAACCCACTTGACTCTTGGCCTTGTTCAGATTACTTGATCTCCTCTTAACTTTGGTGAAATGGGGAAAGATTAATCCCTACTTCAAAGGGCAGTGGATTTAAGGATTGGATAGAAGTAACATTTTGTTGGTTTTTTTTTTTTAATTGAGGAGGTCTCCCTCTGTCGCCCAGGCTGAAGAGCAGTGTGTCATCATATCTCTCTGCAGCCTCCAACTCCTGGGCTCCAGCCATCCTCCTGCCTCAGCCTCCGAGTAGCTGGGACTACAGGCTGCGCCACCAAGCCAGCTAATTTTTCCGTTTTCTGTAGAGACGGGTCTTGCTCTTTCTCAGGCTGGAATAATGTCTCTTTAAATGGCTGACAAACACAGCACCCAAGAACACTAGGAATGTTAGTTCTGATCCAGTGATTAGACAGAAGTGAGAGACAATGTAAGGAACGTTAAGTATGAGCCCACATACCCCATCGACTGCCTGCATACGTTAAACACTTTTCCCTGTTCACTGTGCGAGCACTAAAGGTAAGCGACAAGAGAGACCATGTGTCAATTTTATGACTAATAAGCATGACTATCCTCATGTTGCCTTTGGGGTTACACTAATGTACCAGTTCTGACGCTTTTAGGGGCAGGGGAGCCCCTGAAAACTGAAACTCCGCTCTCCTCTTCCAAACAACATGATGTACATGCAAGAACATAAATATCATTCCAGAGAGTCCTAAAGGCTCATTCACAGACCTCAGCTGAGGCAGCTTAGAACCCCTGCTCCTAGGTATTCGGGTTATTTTTAGGGGATTTGTGGTAGCTGGAACGATTACATTGTTTATAGCAGAGGTCTTAATCTTGAGTGCATTGAGTCACCTAGAAAGCTTTGATAAACTATGGTTCGCTGGACCGACCTCCAAGTCTGTAATTAGTAGGTCCAGGGAACTGCATTTCTAACCAATTTAACAAGTCCCAGTAAGCCTGATTGATGCTGTTGTCCAGGGATTACATTCAAGGGACACGGATGGGGAAAGGGGAGACTTGGGTATAACCCATCTTTCAGACCTTGAGACAACTCCTACTAGTAAATCTTGACTTGTGAAAAATCTTCTTCCTCCACTTTACTGAGCAGTGTCAGGCAAGTGAGTGACTTTATGTTCCCTGGTGTCTTTCAATTTAATAATGGTCATAGGAATCATCCTCTCATGACCTTGCTGTAAATGATCAATATGGTTCATTCTTTACACACCGTAGAACGAATCGTTTACTATCAGCCCACTGAAACAGTGTCCCTGCTGAAGTTTCACTCCAGGCAGGTTAAATCCTTGAGGGCAGTGATTCTAAGCCAGATATTATTTGTGGCCCCTGTGGCACTTTGCCACAGATCCACAACACCTGTGGCCCAATCCCGTGCACAAAGCCTCAGCAGTATTTACATTCGATCACTGTCCCTGCCTCCAAGTCCGTGAAAAATGATCCATGAAAGCTGGTCCCTGATGCAAAAAAGGTTGACGCGTGCACTAACCTAACATTTATGAATATTTTAATAATGTCTGGGTAAGTGTAGTCTAATTAAGATATATAGTGCCACTTCCTCACTGGAATAACACCCTCAGCAACAGACAGAAAAAATTTGTCAAAAAATAAATATACAGCAGTAGTGGTAGAGGAAAAATGTACAGGTGAAATAATGGGAGAAGTGGGATAATGATGAGGGGCTTTAATAGGAATGTGCTTTACGGGGTCTGAACGATGTGATAGTCACGAGTGCCAGCAGAGAATAGCAAGAAAGCAAGTCGGACCCGGATGCCTTGCTGGGCGATCTGGTGAGTTTAGGGGCACAGTTCTTAGATCTCATGAAATGACTGGCAAGTCCTTGACATTTTTGAGCGAGACTTGTCATAGCCTGGGAGACAGGTACTATTGGTATCTAGTGGGTGACAGGCCAGGAGAAGGTGCTCAACGTGGCACAGTCACAGGACGACCCAACCCAGAAATTGCACCGGGCCCCAAATGTCAGCAGCCCTGGATCTGTAGAAACTGGTGTTGATCTGAAGACCGCAGGCTGTGCAAGGAACTTGTTTACCTGGGTCTGCAAGGGCAAACAGGAGGCATACGAGGGAGATAGATTCGTTATAAAGAATCCTGTGGCTGGCCGTCTGGAGAATGGACGGGACAGCAAAGCCCAGGCGAGAAGGCCTGAAGGTTAGAATCCAGCCAAGGTCTGAAGTAGCAATGAGCGGACCTTGACAACGGGGGCCGGTGAGGGTGGGCAGAAGGAAGGATGGCACCGCTGCCAGGGAAAACGCCACGATGGCTCCTTAAAATACTGGACATAGAGTGATGACATGATGCCGCGGCTCTGCTTCCGGGGATATGTCCAAAAGAATTGAGCGAGCGACTCAGGGGACACTTGGACAGCTGTGTTCGCAGCAGCACGGTCCGCAGTGGCAAAGGTGGAAGCAGCCCAGTGCTCATCGACAGATGAAAAGGACACAGCGTGGCCCACGCACACGATGGCACAGGCTTCAGCCTTGCCAGGAAGGAAACTCCGCCACGCGCCACACAGCGTGCCCAGTGAAATTAGCCGGCCACAAAGGACTGGGTGGTTCCTCCCACGGGAGGTCCCTGGAGTCCTCAGAGCCACAGGGCCGGGAGGTAGGACGTCCTCGTCTCAGGAAAGAGCAATCTCTCCTTCCCTAGAGCTGACACCTGCCTCGTCTTCACTCGGAACCCCGCCCCTTGCCTCCCGCACTGGGATCTCCTCTCTCCCTCTTCCTAAAGGCCACCCTCTCCACCGCCCCCTGGCCCTAATAGGAGGCGGGTGGGACTGAATGTCCCCGTCACCCAGCTTGGTCACCAGACGTCTAGCAGTCATTCCTGGCTCTCCCCAATCCTCCCCCACCCACATGCAAACGATCCCCGAGTCCTGTTGCTGCCTTTTTTTTTTTTTTTAATTGAGACAGAGTCTCACTTTGTTGCCCAGGCTAGAGTGAGTGCCGTGGCATCAGCCTAGCACACAGCAACCTCCAACTCCTGGGCTCAAGCGATCCTCCTGCCTCAGCCTCCCGAGTAGTAGCTGGGACTACAGGCATGTGCCACCATGCTCGGATAATTTTTTCTATATATGTATTAGTTGGCCAATTAATTTCTTTCTATTTATAGTAGAGACGGGGTCTTGCTCTTGCTCAGGCTGGTTTCGAACTCCTGACCTCGAGCAATCCGCCCGCCTCGGCCTCCCAGAGTGCTGGGATTACAGGCGTGAGCCACCGCGCCCGGCCTGCCTCTTGTTAATTTCACTCAGCCGAGCAGCTTTCTGTGGCTGTGACCTCAGTCCCCGCGCACTGCATGAGGGTCCCGCAGCAGCAGGAGCAGCCTGGGATGGGGCCTCGGGCCTGTTTTCTTTTGGATCTTTTTTTTTTTTTTTTTTTTGAGACAGAGTCTTGCTTTGTTGCCCAGGCTAGAGTGAGTGCCTTAAAGGACGAGATGACATTCCTGGGGTTGACATGCAGGTAGAAGTATCGTTCAGAGTGCCCCAATTAATAACCTCTTCTCTGATGCTGGCTAAATTCGAACAAACACAAAATATACATACCGACGGAACTTTTCCAGGAAACTTCTCTATAATTATAAATATAGACTTTCTGATTCACTACTAACAGCAACAATGAACCGATAAAATGGACTGATGTCACTGCTGGCACGCCAACCTAAAAGTAACGACACGTACGCTATCAATAACCGCGCCTTTTCGAATGTGGATTCAGAAAGCGCTACTTCTGTGCTGGGCGCGGTGGCTCACGCCTGTAATCCTGGCACCCTGGGAGGCCAAGGTAGGAGGATCTCTTGCGGTCTCAGGAGTTCCGGACCAGCCTCAGCAGGAGTGAGGACCTGTCTCTACTAAAAATAGAAAAAATTAGCCGGGCATGGTGGCGCGTGCCTGTAGTCCCAGCTACTCAGGAGGCTGAGGCAGGAGGATGGCTGGAGCCCAGGAGTTGGAGGTTGCTGTGAGCTAGGCTGACGCCACTGCACTCTTGCCTGGGTGACACAGCAAGACTTTCAAAAAGAAAAAAAAAAAAAAAAAAACGAAAAAGAAAGCGCTACTTCTAGACATGCATTCAAAAAATGTTTATTTTGGTGTAAATGATCCAAAGTGAAAAAAAAATTAAAATTAAAAAAAAGTTTATGCCACCAATACTTATTTAGTTAAGTAAGGGGAACTATATGTGCTGAGGCCAGCTAGGCAGCAAATTTGGGAAATCAAAGTTGGTCTTTAGTGCTCTCAGCTACCTAAATTCATTCCATCGCCTTCTCTTTTTACCAGAACCTTCTGTGAGGACAATGCCTGAAGTGTGAATGATGAATGACTAGCATAACTGATAAATGTCACTTTTCAGAAGAACACTGCTGTGTTCTTAGATGACAAAACTTTATGTAGCGTAGGTACCAATGGTAGAATTTCTCAAGATAGTTACTGAGAGGGTGGTTTTTCTGTTTTGGTTTAGGAGGCCTTGAAGTTATTGCAAGAAAAGTAGGATACCATCCAACGTGTCTATTTGTAACACAACCAATGTAAGAAAGATCACTTGCAACCATTCTGTTTCCTTTTCTTGGGGAAAAAATCCTATCTTGGTAATAGGGGTAGAATAAAACCAACTCTTCCTTTGGCTCAGAAATTGCTTTTTTTTTTTTTTTTTTTTTTTTTGAGATAGAGTCTTGCTCTGTTGCCCGGGGTCAGCCTAGCTCACAGCAACCTCAAACTCCTGGGCTCAGGTGATCTTCCTGCCTCAGCCTCCTAAGCAGCTGGGACTACAGGCATGCGCCACCACACCCAGCTAATTTTTCTATTTTTAGTAGAGACAGAGACTTATTCTTGCTCAGGCTGGTCTCGAACTGCTGAGCTCAAGGATCCTCCCACCTTGGCCTCCCAGAGTGCTAGGATTACAGGCATGAGCCACCGCACCTCTGTGCCCGGCCAGAAATTGCTCTTAACATCTTTAAGTGGTACATTATAAAATAAACCTCTAAACTAACAGGAACAGAGTAGTCTGATTTTTCTGAACAATATCTGCCCCCAAATAGAACTCATTTCTAGTTGCCTTCGGACTGTGGGGTAAGATCACTACCTGCTTTGATGAAGGGATGGTTAAAGGAGGGAGGCTACTCTTAAAGCTATCTGTTGTGAAAAAAAGTTGTCTCCTGAAATAAAAAACAAATGAGTTAAATTAGGACAATTTCATACAAGAAAAGAAAAAACATAATGGGTGCACTTAAAAAATGCTCCATTCAAACAAAATCCCTTTTTTAACTAGGAAGCATTTAGGTATCATTTATTTATTTTGTTTTTATTGTTTTTTTGAGACAGAGTCTTACTCTGTTGCCCGGGTAGAGCGCCATGGCGTCAGCCCAGCCTACAGCAACCTCAAACTCCTGGGTTCAAGCGATCCTCCTGCCTCAGCCTCCCGCATAGCTGGGACTACAGGCACGCACCACCATGCCCGGCTAATTTTTTCTATATATTTTTAGTTGGCCAGTTAATTTCTATTTTTGGTAAGAGACGGGGTCTCTCTCTTGCTCAGGCTGGTTTTGAACTCCTGATCTTGAGCGATCCACCCGCCGGGGCCTCCCAGAGTGCTGGGATTACAGGCGTGAGCCACCACGCCCGGCCTCATTTATTTATTTTGTATGTACAAATCTCTATAGGGTGGTATTTCACTTTTTTCTCTTTTGGGGAGGTAGGGTCTCGCTCTGCTGCCCAGGCCGAAGTGCGGTGGCATCATCATAGCTCCCTGCAGCCTCCAACTCCTGGTTTCCTACTTCTCTTTCTCTTCTTCAACCCGATATGTCGAATCAAAACTCCCCAGAGGCTCTTCTCGCTGAACACGTGATCCCTGGGTGACTGCGAACACGACCACAGCCATGTCCCACAAACACGAGGCCATGAGCCACCACTGTCCATCCTCTCCACCAAATCCTCCCACATGGTCAACCCAGGAACTGGGGGGCCACCTTGAACTGCCTGCTCGTTTTCATTCTCCACACCCTGTGTGTCGTGTCCACACGTCTTGCTGAATCTGCCTCCTCCTCTGTGTCGTTCTCCCTTCTGTTCAAGCTGTATCACGTCTTGCTTTGTTTCGTTGGCCTGGGCCGTTGTAAACTCTATTAGTCCCCTGCTCCATCCCTTCCCTAGTCGGGCCCCGTCTGCAATGCTGCCAGATTGGTGTCTTGAATATGAGCATGACTCATGCAGCCCCCGACCCTCCGCTGCTTTCCGGATGAGGGTAAACATCTTGGCATGGTGTATATATCTGGTTTTCTAAGCCGGGACCCTGACCACCTCCCGTGCATGCTCGACATGGCATTTCCATTCCTTTGAAGGCTCTGCTCTAAGCCCATGCACTTTTGGCTCCCCCCCCCAACCCCATCGAACTCCTATTCATCCTTCAAAACCCAGTTTGGGCATCAACTCCCCAGTGGAAGCTTCCTGTGCATTTTCTCCTCCGGTGCCCCAGTGGCACTTATATCAAGCATCCGTGAGTGGCGGTACCACACCATACTGTGCTTGTTTTACTTACCTGCCAACTTCTTCATTTCTCTTCCTCTGAACCCTGCCCCTGGCTACAGACTCCCCGAAGGCTAGCAACTGGCAACACAGGGCAGAGCCGTCTTCTTCAATGTTTGCTGAATGAATGCATGAGGGCGACCCTAAAGTTTTACTAAACAGGAAGGTCACGGTACATAAAGCGGCCGCTCACCCGAGGTACACAGCCACGTTTTTCCGGCAAGGATGTTTAATCACGCGTGGTGTCGTAGATGGGAAATACAGGACGTCCTAGAGAGAGAATCACAAAATCTTAAGAATATCGATAACAGTAAATGGCGGACAAAAACTAAAGGGCGAAATCTGAACTAGGTAGCAATGACGTTTTCCTGTTTCGCTATGGTACGAGAGTCACGTCACATGCGGCCACTGGGAGAATGGAAACGGGGTCCCCGGGACCGCCCTTTACTATTTTTGCAACTTACTGTGAATCTACAATTATGTCTAAAAGCATTTTAGAAAATTCACCAGGTAAATTATTCACATCCTATCTCATTCCTAGACGTGTCCTACGGCCTATTTTCAGATGATTAGCTACCGCAAAAAGAGGCCAGCAAGTGAAAACTCTTAATGCTAACGTGAGAAACCAGTCACTTAAAGATTTAGTGGCTGATGCCACTTCTGAAAGTGTGCAGTTTTGTCAACAGGGAACACCTTTGAACAGACAGAATTTGTTTTCTTTTTTGGGGGGCGGGTTAGGCTTAGGGGCAGGGCGTTAAGGTTAGAGTTAGGGTTTGGGTTTAGAGGGTTAGAATTAGAGCGAGGGGGTGCGTTAGGTGTAGGGTGTTGGGGTTAGGGTTGGATTTGTGTTTCCCAGAATATTTTTTTATTTGTGCATTTTAAGCACGTATTGATTAAAGTGACGTTTCCTGCCGCACGATGATAGTTAAAGCCACAGGGTTTGCCTCTGTCCCTCTGCATTCGAGGGTCTACCAGGGGAGTGGACAGATCACTGGGTAAAACTTCAGATAATCTGAGTTCTGAACCCACTTGTACCTCTTGGCTTTGTTCAGATTACTTGATCTCTCTTAACTTTAGTGAAATGGGAAAGATTAATCCCTACTTCAAAGGGCAGTGGATTTAAGGATTGGATAAAGTAACATTTTGTTGGTTTTTGTTTTTTTTTTTAATTGAGGCAGGGTCTCCCTCTGTCGCCCAGGCTGAAGAGCAGTGGTGTCATCATATCTCTCTGCAGCCTCCAACTCCTGGGCTCCAGCCATCCTCCTGCCTCAGCCTCCCGAGTAGCTGGGACTACAGGCCTGCGCCACCAAGCCCAGCTAATTTTTCCGTTTTCTGTAGAGACGGGGTCTTGCTCTTTCTCAGGCTGGAAGTAATGTTCTTAAATGGCTGACAACACTAGCACCCAAGAACACTAGGGAATGTTAGTTCTGATCCAGTGATTAGACAGAAGTGACAGACGAATGTAAGGAACGTTAAGTATGGAGCCACATACCCCATCGACTGCCTGCATGACATTAAACACTTTTCCTGTCCTCACTGTGCGAGCACTAAAGGTAAGCGACAAGAGAGACCATGTGTCAATTTTTATTGACTAATAAGCATGACTCCTACCATGTTGCCTTGGGGTTAACACTAATGTACCAGTTCTTGACGCTTTTAGGGGCAGGGGAGCCCCTGAAAACTGAAACTGCGGGCTCTCCTCTTCCAAAAACAGACATATGTACATGCAAGAACATAAATATCATTCCAGAGAGTTCCTAAAGGCTCATTCACAGACCTCAGCTGAGGCAGCTTAGGAACCCCTGCTCCTAGGTATTCGGGGTTATTTTTAGGGGATTTGTGGTAGCTGGAACGATTACATTGTTTATAGCAGAGGTTCTTAATCTTGAGTGCATTGGAGTCACCTAGAAAGCTTGATAAACTATGGTTCGCTGGACCCGACCTCCAAGTCTGTAATTCAGTAGGTCCAGGGAACTGCATTTCTAACCAATTCTAACAAAGTCCCAGGTAAGCCTGATTGATGCTGTTGGTCCAGGGATTACTATTCAAGGACTGGGATGGGGAAAGGGGAGACTTGGATATAACCCATCTTTTCAGACCTTGAGACAACTCCTACTAGTAAATCTTACTGGAAAATCTTACTCCTACCCACTTACTAGCTATGTGTCTCAGGCAAGTGAGTCTTTAATTTCCCTGGGTCTGTTTTCACATCTATAAAATAAGGTCAAGGAATCAATCCTCCAGGAACCTTGCTGTAAAGATCAAATGAGATCTTACACACCGTAAGAACACGTTTACTATCCCACTGGCAAACAGGTCCCTGCTGAATTTCACTCCAGGCAGGAAGAATTCCCTGAGGGCAGGATCTAAGCTCCAGCAACTATGTGGCCCCTGTGGCACTTTGCACACAGTATCCACTAACCCTGTGGTCCCCAATCCCTGGGCCACAAAGCCTCAGCAGTATTTACATCGATCACTGTTCCCCTGCCTCCCAAGTCCGTGGAAAAACTGTCATCCATGAAACTGGTCCCTGATGCCAAAAAGGTTGGGGACCGCTGCACTAACCTAACATTTACTGAAATTTTAAAATGTACTGGGTAAGGAGTGCATAAGATAAATAGTCCACGTCCTCACGGAACTAACACCCTAGCAACAGACAAGAAACAATTTGTCAAAAAATAAATAACAGCAGTTAGTGGTAGGAAAAAGTACCAATGGGGAATGGAAAGGCAATAGATGAGGAGGGAGCTTTAAATAGGGGAATGAATGTGCTATTTGAATCGGGGTCTGAATCATGAGGAAATCAGTCATGGAGTGCCAGGCAGAGGAAATAGCAAGAGCCAAGTCTGGACCCCGGATGGCCTTGCTGGGGCGATCTGGGAGTTAGGGGCACAGTTCTTAGATCTTCAGAGAATACTTGGCAACGCCTAGTGACATTTTTGAGAGACTTGTCAAGCCTGGGGAGACAGGTACTATTGGTATCTAGTGGGTGCAGGCCAGGGAAGGTGCTCAACGTGGCACAACACACAGGACGACCCCAACCACAGAAAATTGCCCGGCCCCAAATGTCAGCAGCCCTGATCTGTAGAGACGTTGGGTCTGATCCTGAAGGACCCGCAGGCTGTGCAAGGAACTTGGGTTTTATCCTGGGTCTCAGGGAGAACCAGGGAAAGGTAACGAGAGGGCATCAGATTCGGTTATAAAGAATCCCTGTGGCTGCCGGGTGGAGAATGGACGGGACAGCAAAGCCCAGGGCTGGAGGGAAGTGGCCTGAAAGGTTAGGAATCCAGCCAAGGTTCTGAAGTAGCAATGAGCGGACTTGGTGATGGGCTGGGAGGTTGGGGTGGGTCCGGAGAGAGGCGGCCTCAAGATCGATTCCTAACAGTCAAGTGCTAAGACTCTTGAGGCTGGGGAAGCAGCCCCCACTGGACCCCTGGCAGCACCCTAGCCCCGGGAGGGCAGCCCCACCGGCACAACGGCTGAGCTCCGACCAGCGGACAGAGCCGCATGCCCGCCGCCGCCACAAGCACCAATATCAGCATCTCGCTTAAAACTTCTGCAGTGACCACCGCCACGCAACCGCTGCTAGGCTCGCTGCACAGCCCGCGCATGCGCAGACTGGAGCTTGAGCATGCGCACAAACGCACCGCCAAGGCTGGGCATGCGCACACGGTAGTCCCTCTCACGGGGCAAAACCTCTGGGCATTCGCAGACAAGTACCGCAAAGCCCAGATCCACGCGCCCCAACAGGCGCCCAGAGCTTGGGCATGCGCACACAGCCACCCACGGGCAGGGTAAATGTTGAGCATGCGCACAGTGCCTCCCGGGAAGCCCAAACCCGCCAACCACTACGAGCCTCAGAGCCTGAGTATGCGTGTGTCAGCCGCGCGGGCAAGTGAGCGCACAAGCCTGCCCCCAAGTCCCCAAAGACTGCGCTTGTAGCAACACCAGGTCTTTCTAGGAGAGCGGGCGCGTGCTCGCGACCTCCCACGTGACCGGAAGGGGACTTGAGAGGGCTCCTTGAGAGGCCGGAAGTGGCGGAGGTGGTACGAGAGCTCAAACTCCGTCCCCTCTGCCCGTCGCAGGGCCCGCCTCCTGAAGCGGTACGTGCCGGGCGCCGCGCGCGCTCCAGCCGGCGGGCGGAAATGACGCAAGTTGTGCACGCCGCTAGTATGGCCGGGCTATGGCGGCGGGCACAGGCTACGTGCGGCTGTGGGGCGCGGCGCGGTCTTGGGCGTTGCGGCGGCCGATATTGGCCGCCGCCGGGGGGCGGGTCCCGGCTGCAGGCGGAGCGTGGCTTCCTCGAGCCCGGCGGGCCTGCGACGCCTTTCCTCCTTGGGCGCTGTGGGGCCGAGGCCCGGCGACCGCGGGCCAGTGGCGGGGGTTTTGGGAGGCGAACAGCCGCGGCGGTGGCGCATTTTCGGGGGGCGAGGACGCCTCCGAGGGCGGCTCGGAGGAAGGGGCCGGGAGCGCGGGGGGCAGTGCGGGCGGCGGGGAAGGCCCAGTCATGACGGCGCTCACGCCCATGACGATCCCCGACGTGTTCCCGCACCTGCCTCTCATCGCCATCACGCGCAACCCGGTGTTCCCGCGCTTTATCAAGATTATCGAGGTAATGAGAGTCCCCGCCTCAGCCTCAGCTTTCCCATCTCTGCAAACAGTGGGTTGGCCCGTGGGATCTCTTAGCGCCCTCATGCCTCGCAACTTTTCCTGGACTCGAAATTGCTCAAAGTTTCTCGCATCTTTGCTCACCACTAGCTTGGGGACCTTGAGCGAAATTCTTCCTCCTTTCAGCTCTCTTAGGGTCTGTTAGATGAGAGCAGTGAAACCCTATGAGCTTGGGACCGTCCACTTGATCTCGGCCCCCGTCATAGAAATCCTGGGCCGGAAGGGAGCAGAGCAATGTTGCGACAGTGTTGTTACTTTTCTGCTTACTTGGTAGATGTTTTGTAACAGCCCCTACCCCAGGCGTTCTTGCTGTCTGGTTAAAAGCCCGCTGGGATCAGAATTCTTGAGTGCTTACTGTCCGCCAGATAACTGTACTGGGTGCTCGGGATATGGCAATGAACAAAACAGACAAAAATGTTTGCCTTTGAAGCTGAGTGCGGGAGCCAAGAGTTCAATTCCAGCCGGGGCAACATGGCAAGACCTTGTCAGTTAAAAAAAAAAATGTATATTTCTGCTTTCGGAGCTTACATTTTTTAGCAGGATGAGAGGCAATAAACAAGATTGGTAACAATTGTGTTCGAAGGCAGGAATTACTACCAGGAGAGCAGAGCAGAGATGGTTCAGGAGGCTTAGGAGGAAAGTGGGAGGAGGACATTATTTATTCAGAGAGTGTTCTTAACCATGGAGCAGATACTGAGAATACTGTCGTGAACAAGTCAGACAGTCCCTGGCCTGAGGAGCTTTATGTTCTGGTGGAAGAAATGACCTTTTAGACTTACAGCCTTAGGGGGTGGGGTTGGAGCAGGTTGATGTAACAGAGAGAAAGCAGTGAGTGCAAGGAACTTGGGGTTTTTGAATAAGAAGGACCCAAATGCCTTCTCCCAAACCCCTTCCTCTGTTTTTAAAAAAGAAAAAAACACGTGGCTCAGAATCTAGGACAATGAGATTTTTATAAAAGAAAGAAAAGGAAAATACGTGGAAAGCGGAGGCCATGAAAGAGAAAGGTTATCTCTGAACTGTCTAAGCAAGGTCATTCGGTGAGTCTGCCTCTGTTCCCCCTCCAGCCTCTCCCCTCACCCTCCAGACTCTGCTAAATAAATCTCGAGTATCTCTTGGAAGTGGCAAGGACAGTATAGAATGGCAGCAGCCAGCCAGTGGGGAGGGGACAGAGGGAGTTTCTCCCACAGCGCTGATGACGTGTGTCTGAGCCACCCTTCCAAGGCCTTTCCTTGACGCTGAGTAGTGGTTACCGAGAGCCGGGCCCGAGAGCCGGGCCCTGTGGCGTCCTGTCCTGTCTCCGCCTCTGTTAGGTCCATAACCTTCAGCAAATTATTCTTCTGGGCCTCTGTTTTCTTACCTATGAAATGGACATCATGATAGTGTCTCACTTCTTAGAGCTGTCAGGAGAGTGAAATCAGGGTGCACGAGTAAAGGGTTTAGAACGGCGCCTGGGGCTTAGGGCGGCGCCTGGGGCTTAGGGCGCCTCGGTGATTGCTGCTGCTGTTTCCTGCTTAGTGCACTTCTGACATTCCAGAAGCCTGCCCTGGAGGCTCTTTTCTTCATCCTTGACCCTGCCCCTGGCATCCTCTTTCCCCTCCTAGGCTTCTGGGGCCAGAACTCTTCCAGGTCTAGTCCCCTTGGCCCTGCAAAGTGACACATACCCTTTGCTGCCAGCACTGGAGCAGAGAGATGAGTCTTCCAAGAGACTTCTGTCTGTCCCCCTGGAGCTAGCCGGGAGGGTGCAGTGAGTGAGTCGCTGTGGATAGCATTTGGGAGACTGGCAGTTGGTACCCCCTGTATTTCTGTCGCTGATACTTTGTAAATAGCCAAAAGGGATCCTGCCATGGCAGGTTCAAAAGATGAAACAATCTGCTGTTGGTGGCAGAGCAATTGGGGGCAACTTCTTTCGGACCCAATAAATGTTTCTGAAACTGTTAGCAAAGCTCTGTTTACTCTTGACTTTGTAATTGACACAGTGGCCTCTGAGTATAGAACAGTGGCTCTTAATTTTTGGCGGGTTAGATACCCTTGTCTTGGATGTTACTGGCTCCCCCCCCCCCGGAAAAAATGCATCTGTAATGTCTGGAATTCCTGGACTACGAGTTAAGAGCCCCCATTAGGGAGTGAGTTAAAACACTGGCTCTTAAAGTGCGATCCTGGACCAGCAGTATCACCTGGGAGCTTGCTTGAAATGCAGATTGTTGCCCCCGACCCCACACCTCCTGAAACTCCAGGGGTGGGGCCCAGCATTGAGTTTTCACAAGTGCAGCTAAGTCTGGTGCCTGCCGAAGTTTGAGGGCCATTAAGTTTAAACAAGGTCTGGCTTGGGAGTTAACACGGGCTTGAAAGAAATCAGGTGAGCCTGAGGACACCCGTGCTCCTTGCCGTATCCCACGTTTCCTAGAAGATATCATTGCCCCGAACCTGCCATTGAAATGACATCGAGAATGTGCTGTGATCCTTGGGGTTTGGGGGCTTGATGTTGTCTTTCTGGCATTAATAAAAGCAGAATGGTTCTAGTTTTCAAACCAACATTTTGCCACTGAAATCACCTTTGAAAGTTGGTGTTAAATCCTTGGTTCTGACTGTGTGCCTACTTTCAATTTTCTTTTGGAAGGGGGAGGGTGTGCTAGGGAATGTGGCTAGTCAATACGGACTCACTCCGTTCACCACGCCTGTCCCCATCTGGTGGTGGTTTTTTTTTTTTTTGGCTTAGGGGTTCCTGGACCATGTTGATTAGTTTCCCAGGTCAGACTAGCATGTCTCCAGAGAAGAATCTAGGAAACATCAGAGCAGCTGTCAAAAGTGTCAGCCAAGGACGGGCATGGTGGCTCACGCCTGTAATCCCAGCACTCTGGGAGGCCAAGGTGGGAGGATCGCTTGAGTTCTGGAGTTCGAGACCAGTCTGAGCAAGAGCGAGACCCCATCTCTACTAAAAATAGAAAAATTAGCAGGCATGGTGGTGCACTCCTGTAATCCCAGCTACTCGGGAGGCTGAGGCAGGAGGATCACTTGAGCCCAGGAGTGTGAGGTTGCCGTGAGCTAGGCTGAAGCCACGGCACTATAGCCCGGGCAACAGAGTGAGACTGTCTCAAAAAAAAAAGAAAAAAATGTCAGCCAAAAAAAACCTCTACCCTGCATTTCACTCTGGGGTCATTGTTACGCTAGGTTAAAAATAAGAAGTTGGCTGAGCTGCTAAGAAGGAAAGTTCGTCTTGCCCAGCCTTATGTCGGCGTCTTTCTAAAGAGAGATGACAAGTAAGTCATTTTTCCTTCCTTCGTTTGCTGAAGTCGCCCTGGAGTGTAGCTCACAGCCCACAGAGCGCGCGGTTTGACCCAAAACCCAGGCGAGCCCCCAGGGCAAAGGCGGAGAAGCTGGCTGACCACCTTCTTGGCCTCGCCCGGGACTCAGTACCTGGCAGCACCAGCCTACGTTGTCAAGGTGGGGGGCATTAGTGTTGAGGGCCCGCAGTGATAACACGTACCCACGGGGGACACTTCGAAAGCAGAGCTAGCCGGGCAGGCACAGTGGCCCCGGGCACATCCACCTGGACTCCGAGAGCAGTCAGTTCCCTGCGTGCGTCCCGAGTCTCCACACTGGGGTAGAAGAGAGTCAGAGTCCCATGTGGGCGCCGCCCTAGCGGCTGACTTAGCGAGGAGCTGCCCACCTGGGTGCTGTCACCACTGAAGGCAGCTGTGATCTGGCAGATGCTGCTCCGGACTCCTGCGGGAACCCACGGGGCTGCACTCGGTTTTCAGTGGCGGCCGGCGGGGCTGTTTCCTCTCCCCCCCCCCAGCCTGAGATGTCCCACGGAGCCCTGGAGCCTGTGCGCCAACTGTCCCCTTGTATCCTCTCCCTCAGCAACGAGTCCGACATCGTGGAAAGCCTG